TTATGATCCATGAATATTCAATTGCTAATTCCTATTTTATATTGTTTTATACAATTCAGTATCCCATATTTTGTGTGTTTTACAGTTCTTGTACACTATATAGTAATCCATGCGCTACACTGAAACAGAAACTGAATACACTGAAAAATTATTTTTCTAATTTGTAAATAAAACTAATATTATTAGAGCACATTTTGCAAGAAGTCTTCTTTCTTCTTCAAAATTTGAATTCGGTCTGCTACTTAATGGTTCTTTGTAATTAGTTGTGAAATTTACTAGCAATTTCTTGTTTCTATTCAATTTCTGTTGTTTCTGTGTGTACTGTAGTAGTGTATATAAAAATATGAATTATTTTCTAATATGCAAGTGATTTATAGTGTCATTTTAGTACCATAACTAGAGATAATATTGTCGTTAATTATAATAACCCTGGTCATTTATAAAAAATTTTTTGTTCACATTATTTTATATTTTTCCTGTTAGGTATCACCAAGCGTGATGCGCAGAACTGTCACCGAATCCGTCACTTTGAGAACACTTTCGTGGTGGAGACAGTGATTTGTGAGACTCCATAGGCTGTTTGTCTCTTTGCCCCGCCTATTTCTGATGAGATCACACCCTCAGGTCTCGGTAGCCACACCCCTTTGAAAATCACACTCTTTGCCTCTAATTCTTCATGTCTTTACACCCCATTTCTCTCTTTTTGTACTTCTCTCTCTCTGTACCTAGTAATTCATTACAAATGTTCCCTTGACAATGTCTGAACAGTTGGTTTCTGCATATTTGCAATAATGAGGATTTTCAAATTGATGCATTTAAAAATGTAATGGTAGCATCGGAAGTCTTTAAATGAGAAGATTACACAGGCATTAAGCTGCACAATGCCTGCATGCTCGTACCTGCGTCTAACTGGCTGTTTGTGCTCCATCAAACTGCTCTTTGCTCTCTTATGTATTTGTGTGTTTTTAGATCTATTCTTGGATAGAGATGCACCGAAACTGGCCAAAAAGACCATAAAATGATGTGAAAAATATTATGAGAAAGCATTACTCTTAACATCCAATCTCTGAACTGCAAAAATAATTTTCTTAGTATTTTTTTCTTGTGTCCACTATTGGTTAAAAGCACATTATTATAAAGAGTTTGCTTGTGCTCAACACATTTGCAAAGATAAAGAGTCCTTTGCCCTGATTTGTGTGTTCTTAGGCACAATATTCACTTTTCTTTCGGTGCATCGCTACTCATGAATATCCTAACTGATCCTAGTGCGTCTGATGAAAAATCGCTTCCATCATTACATTTATCACATGTGTTCGTTTACTACATATCTCGATATCCACTTTAGTGCTTCTACAACATGCTTCCTGTGCCACTTCCTCTTTTCTTCTTTCTCTCTCTGCATGCTTTTCAAGACAACACATGCATTGTTTGAGTATTTTCTTATCATATGAGTGAAGCCTTAGGCCAGATTCATGCCCTGGACTAATGTATACAATCTCAAAAGCTCTTCGTGTTTATGTGTGTGTTGAAGTTAAAAACCTTGTTTAGTTGGGTGAAGCAAACATGTAAATAAACCAATAAGACCTAGCTATGCCACATATTTTTTAGTCATTTCTGTTACGAAACACTGAGAGCATGGCCAAACCCAGGTTTTTTCTTTAACAAATGCAATTGCACAATACAAAAATTGCAGTTTATGTTGCATAACTGCTTGTTTTACACTCTCAGCAGGTTCTAGAAAAATATCCCGGTGGTAAACAGCAAACAGAACACACATCATTGCTGATTTTGACGTTAAATCAGCAGGGAAACTTCTGCAAAGCCCAGAAGAAGTCTGTATAGTATCAGACCTCTTGTACTCTTTGAAACTGTAAGAAAGGGGAAATGAAATACGTGTGAAATACATGTCACTAAAAACTGTTATTCTCATGCATGACTTTGAAATTATCTTGCACCATCTTGTGCCCTTGTGTTTGATATGCCCATCCTCTCAGCTCAGTCTGAGGTTTCAGGTTAGATTGTTAGATCATGCATAAATCTGAGTCATTGTAATTTCTAGATGGGTGTCTGAGAGCAAATGATATAAATAATTCAATCAAATGGAGTAGTTCAATCAAAAACGAACATTCCAAACACACAACTTTCTAATGTGAAACAAGATTTTCTTTTTCCATGCAATGATGCAAAATGAGATCCAGAAATGACAAAAAAGCACTATAAAAAATAGTCTTTTGAAGTCATGTGATAGCTTTACAGTATGTGAGAAGAAGCAAACTGAAAAATTATTCACTGTTAACTTTGCCGCTCATAATCTGTTAACCTGAGAAACACTGTGAGTGGAAAATTGAGTCAGTGTAGGTCGTTAAAAAAATAACTATTAATTCACAAATTGGACAATTTTTTTTGAAAGCTTAACAGACATTGCTCACTATAAACTGTTATGGTATGAAAAAGAGCTTTGTGCAGGTTTGGAACCATGTGAAGGTATATATAGAATAACAAAATTCGGTAACACTTTATTTGAAAGTGTCCTTGTTACACGTGACATGTATTATAATAACAATAAATTATGCATAATTACATGCAAGTAACCCTAAACCAAACTCTAAACCTAACCCTAACCATATAGTAAGTACATGTAGTTAATTAATATTACTCAGTACTTAAATATAAAATTACACTGTAACAAGGGCACCTTAAAATAAATTGTAGGGATGTAACGATTAACTGCGAGCCGGTTGAAAATCGATTTAAATATGTGACGATTCAATTATGTTTTTGCTTCAAATTTTGATATTATACAATCTAATTTAGATTAAAAACAGCTCATGTTGCATTTATGCAGCATCTTTGTTTGGATTGTGATTAAAATGCAGTGGTTGCCTCTAATTTTAAATGGAAAGAGCACAGACAAAGCCTTAGTTTGTTTATATGAAGAGATTTATTTATTTGTGTTACTTATTTATTTGATTTGGGGCTTGTTTTAAAATTTCAATTTAGGTTTGTTATTTACATTTACATTATATTTAAATTTTGTAATTTAGCAGACGCTTTTATCCAAAGCGACTGAAACCTACAGTATTTTGTCCAAGCAATAATAAAAGGACACATTTAATTGATAATTTGTCTTAAATCTCATTTTGTTAAAACAAACTGTGAATAGAATCGAATCGTGAATAGAATCGAATCGTGAGTTGAGTGAATCGTTACATCCCTAATAAATTGTAACCCAAAATTCTTACGTTTTTGTTTTTTTTCTATTTCTTTAAAATAGTTTTTAATGTGAGTAAACTCTACATATTACTGACAAAAATGCAGAGAGCAATATAATAACTAATACTTAAAGAAATAGTTAACCCAATAAAGAATACCCTTAGATGTAGATGAGTTTAGGAGAAAATAGACTGGCGTGGTGTGGATTATTGTGATGTTTTTATCAGCTGTTTGGAATCTCATTCTGACGGCACCCATTCACCGCAGAGGATCCATTGGTGAGCAAGTGATGTACATAATGCTACATTTCTCCAAATCTGTTCTGATGAACAAACAAACTCCCCTACATCTTAGATGTAGAGTACATTTTTAGCAAATTTTCATTTTTGGATGCACTATTCATTTAAGATATTTGTTTCCGAACTTTGACCTTATCCATCCATGTAAAGATACTTTGAAGTTATTTTATAGCTGATGAAATATGCCACCAGACTGCTTCCAAACGGCATAGTTCCAATCCTGCTGTTTCATGCATCAGCAGTGTTCGTTTACAAAATCTAAACACAGTTTATTGAACAAATTCTTAACAGCTAAGTCATGCTTAAGACTTCAAACATTTTTCATCAAACAGGTTTATTAGGATTATATAAGATTATTAGATTTGTGGCAGCTAGACAACAAAAACTATTTTGCATTAGTTTATCTAAAAATTGTATAAAATCTTCACTGCTGCTCATTATTTGAAAGCATATTATATTGTATTTACTTTATTTAGTTACAGTATTTGTCACATAGTACACAGGAAGTCGGGGAGAAAAAGAAGGAAACATGACTCGATATGAAAATATGACACCTGCAAGGCAACCGATCAGACAGATTTAAAATTGAATTAACCATAAATGTTGAAACATAAACCAAGTGTATCAATACAAACTCCTTTTTAATATAATATATCAAAAATAGCCAAACCGACAACAATTAGTACACATGAGAAAAGACACACGGATTCATGATTTCATGTTATAAAAAAAACTATTTTATGTTCATTATTGTGGTAAAGAAGTCAATTTTAAACGTTTTAGATGATAGAACAAAAAAGTGCTTTGAAATCATATACATCAACTATACAAAATAATCTGTCATCTGACAATAATGATGGCAGATTTAACGACAGGCACATTTATCACAACACTGTATAAACCACTGCAACCATAACTATCTGTTTTATATGAAGAAACCACCTCAACTGTCAACATCTGTGATGGAAATGATGATGACAAAAAAGGGATATGTTAGTTTTCATCTAAAATATCTTCATGTTGTCCGAAGCCAACATTCCTATATCATATTTAAGCATCAGCATCCCCAGATGACCTCAGAGACATTCATAATTAATTACTAATTTAGATGGAACCAGACACTGTGTAAATGTACATTTCTGTGGTTGTGACATGCTTTGACAACAGATGCACATAGAAGTTCTTCTGAAGTGTTCTTAGGGCAAAATGTCACAACAACAACAAAAAACGCATTGAAAGAGAGAGGTTGTTTTTGCACTTTGGTAACACAGGAAGTGGAAAAAAGCATAGCTTCAATGTGGTTCACTAGCCATCATTCTAAAAATAAATAAGCACATAAAACGAAAACATGTTTTATACATTATCAACAAAATATAACACTTCTTTTTTGGCGATATTCTGAAAGTCTTTACACGAGGCTTCACCACAGATAAGCCTAAATTTCAAGTACATAAAAATGCAATTAAAGATTAATATGTATAATCAATATGTGACTTACCTAACAGGTTCAATATGCCACAGTGCAAATTTTGAGATTCAAATGGGACATTTAAACAAAATAGGCTATATAACAACTTTGCTGTTTATCCTGCTCGGGAACATTTTAGTGGATGAATGAAATAAGTTCTCAAGTTCAAACAGCTGTTCTGGAAGATAAACCACAGTAGTAGTTTGTCACATTAACCAAGAACATGTTCCACTAACATTTGATACTCATAAAGTAATATATATACCAATATTTACTTTGTCCAAAGTGTCCTAACACTTTCTATCATGCTGTATCGAGCGACATGGTGATGGTGAGGGGAAAAACGTTTGCGTTCCATCGAGAAATTGTGTTCGCTCGCAAAACTTTCGTGATGTAAACAAAACAACGTCGGAGAAAAACTACAGGGGTGAATAACATTTTCCCCAGTCATCTCAAAAGTGTCCCAATTTGCCCGCAATTCACTCCAATTCAATACTTTTGCGAGCAAACGCACATTTTCTCAGGGGAACGCAATGCTTTTTTTGCGAAAGAGCGCAAAAGTTTTGCGAGCGAACGAAAAAACATTGCAATATAATTTTTCTTCCATCTTACATCCATCTCCATGTCCTATTGTGGGCTCCGTAGGCTATTGTTTATCCTAACTGTTCTCAGCTTGTCAAGACCTTTGCGTCGACCTGCTGAGGGAATAATTGCCTACATCCGTTTGTCTTTTACCCTTGTCCTGCCAGAACGAGTCCAGGGAGAAGTAGTAGATGAGCGGATCCAGACAGCAGTTGACACTCGCCAGGCAGACGAGCGCTAGTATAGTCTCGCCGCAATTGCTCTCATTGTACGTCAAGAGTTGTAAAGTAAACGGCAGGAAAAATATAATAAACACTAACATGTTGACTACAAAAATCAGTATCACGTTCATTTTGTTGTTCACCTTGGCCGCTCCAGCGCTGGGACGCTTCCTCAGTACGCTTACGACCACGACCGTGGAGACGATATTGACCAGAAGGAGTACTAATAAAAATATCGCCTGTGAGAGCGGGAAGACTCGCGAGCTTTTGGAGAGCGCTTGAATCTCAAAGCACGGTATGTTTGGACACCCCTTCAGGGCGCCGTAGAGTCTTATAATCTCTGGGATGCAAAGGATGGTGATGAGGATCCACACGACCACGCAGCACTTCAACGCGCACCCGGAGGTTCTCAAAGACCGGGAGCGCAGAGGGCAGGCGACGGCGATCATCCGGTCCACGCTGATTAAAGTGATGAAGATACAGCTCGTTCTGATGTTCACGCGAAACACCATTAAGGCAACGGTGCATGTGGCCGCTCCAAACGGCCACCGGAGCGTTGCGTAAAAGTAGACGCGCAGCGGCAGGGAGAGCGCGAGGAACAGGTCGGACACGGCAAGGTTCACCATGAGCACGGCGCACGGTGACCGGACCCCGTGAGTGCGCAGCAGGATCCACAGGGACAACGTGTTGAGCGGTAGACCCACGGCCAGGACCAGGCCATAGACCACGGCCGACGCCAGGTACCGGTTCGAAGGTTCGAGAGCAGTGGTTATGCACGAGTTAGTCCCGTTCGAACACATGTTCACGTTTCTGAGGAGAACGGCGTGCGAAATCACAACGGTTGGGTCGAAGCTGGCCTCTTAGATTTTGATTGACCTCTGAGTGGATTTTAAAGTGGTTTTGAGGGAGACCAGACAGTAATGAAACGATGAAAGAGGAAGGATGTAGAAGGTGAGGGGGTTTCTCCGCCTCTTGAGTGGAGCCTGTTCTATTTTTCACGGTATAGGTTTGTTTGTAATGTCAAATTTAATGGCAAACTTTATTAACTACAAAAAATTCCACTCTCTATGTCCAGAAAAAAAAAGTACAGTTCTCTGACCTCATTTTGACCTTTTGGGACATGTTGTCACACTATGACGTCACATGGGAACCTGCTATATTAAACAGATATTATGTGCTCTCTAATTGAAATATAAATTAATATCTTACCCTCATGTTTTTTTTTTGTTTTTTTTCCCTTCCAATTTTTATTTTTTCTTTATCTTTTTCTTCTTTTTTTCTTTTGTTCTGTATGTTCAGATGACATTGTACATATTGTTGACAAATGTTGTGTACTCTATACAAAGTTGTATATCTTTAATGTCATCTTGTGATGTTTGCATTCATAATAAAATAAAAAAAAAAAAAGGTATTATGTGCTCGAAGAAACATTTCAACAGTAAAATAATCATGCACAAGCGATGTAAAGTGACAATTTGGACAACAAAGATGGTAAATAAAACTATAGTGGTTAATAAATTGTAAATTTACATCAAATTTACGAATGCATTTGTTTTTTATTATTATTCTTAAATAATGATTCTCATGACTGCAATGCATGTTTAATTTTTTCATTTTAGAGTTTTTAATAATTTGTATTACTATGAAAATAGTTTTTGTGTTTTTAAATGAAAAATCATTTGTTTTAAATTGCATTTAAATCATTGATGCGCTTTAAAACGTTTTTTTCTAATTATTTCTGCTAATTTTAATGTTACAGTAATGAGAAATAAACTTTATTTTGCATTATAGTAAAGAGGTAAAAGTACCCCATTGACTTGAAAATAATAAATAAATAAATAAATAAAGGTCTCAATAGTAGACTTCAATTAAAAAAAAAAAAAAAACACATTCAGGGGGAGACCCAGTATGGTTGTAACATGAGGAGAGTTGTAACAACACCATTTCCTCCTATCAGGGATAAGCCCTATGATCCTATGATCATTTCATTATTTGCCCACTTCCCCCCTGATCTTATATGAATTGTCACGGATGCAGATTTTATAAAGAAAAAACATGATTTTGATGTAAGAATCCAAATTTTTTTTTTTTTACCAAAACTGTATTTTGCTTAGTACTTCAAATTTTTGCAGATTAAATCATATAACTCACATTAGAATAAATTGTAGATTCCCAGGCAATATGTGATGTATTTTTAAACTGCTAATTTCAAACCATTATGCTAATACAGCTAACTAAACATCGGATGACAGGAGTGGGGTGAGTTGTAACACATTTTAGCGTTCCCTTGCATAAAACTGAGAACTTTCATGTTGTCTATATATGGAGCTTTTTTGGCAGCTCAAACTTCAAAGCCAAAGGAAATGTGGGTAAAATGTGCCCTATGCAGTTTCTGGATCCACCAAGCCTGCACTCTAGGGTTAAAAACATTGGTTTGACACCATTGTGAATCTTACTGAGAAAAGTCATACATTATTTACCTCTGTACACTGGAGTTGAGTGTTCAGTAAGCATAAATACCGTTAAGGAGGTTTGTTCTAGTTGTCTAATTTACACACACACACCTGCATCGAACAGAAAGTGGATTTGAGTTGTGGTCATTCGTAGAAAGTGCGACATTGTTTTGTTCTTTTAGATTGTTTCAATAAACCTGTTTTTGAAGCAAACTTTATGAGATGGCTGCTGTTTTTGCTTCTTTTGTCTGACTGTTACAACATACCCCGGCAGTGAGGTAGATTGTAACAAAGGCACTCCATGTATTTACCATCAACTTATAAGGGCTGTGATATTCTTGCAGAGGTTCGAATTGGTGTAGTGAACAAATGTGGGTGTTTTGTATAACTCTAGCTCAAAAATTCAGCGAGTTACAGATGCTGAAACAAAAAGTGTTACAACCATACCCAGTCTCGCTTATGTAGGGCCTATGTATGTAAAATGTGACCTGGACAACTTATTTGCTTTTTGAAAGGTGTATGTTAAGTAAACATAAATTTCACTCCAACCATTATCCTCAAGTGTTATGTGAGAAAACACTACTACTACTGCTACTATACTAACAATATAAATACCACTCAAAAGTAAGATTGTTACAATCATTTCAGTTTCACATTTATATAAATCAGTTATGTCACTAATGTGACAGACACGTATACTGAGTATATACTTCACATCCACTTGCATACTCATCTATATGAGCATGTCTCTGTATCTTACTTTCTACTGCCCAATGTCAAACAATTTTAGACAACAAATATTGTAAATATAGCCATAAATATAGGGGGTAATTAAATTGTAGATTAATATAGCCTATAAAATTTTAACAGATGTGACAACATGCCCCTAACTTGATATTTAAGTAGAATAAACTTTCAACCTTTAAGAGAAAGTAGCCTATGTCAGTGTGGTTATACTGCATTCATACAAAACTACTGCTGGAGAAAACAATTTCTCGTCTAACTGACGTCTAACTGTGCTTGAACACGTTCCCACAGCTAAAAACGTGTACTCTCGTGGTTTATATTTTATAGGTTGATTTCATGTAGCAGCACTGGCAATCATCTTGAGAAAGCTGAAATGAATATGCCTCGAATGGAGCACACATATTTTAATACAAAGTCTTATTTATTGCAATAAATAACATGAAGACAAAGGGAGATGGAGACAACAGAACATCAGAAGTATCTGCAAGTTCTTCGTGAGGAACCTCAACAACTGCAGCTGAAGCTAAAATACTCTTAATTTATAATAGATAGTTACGGTCAAGCTAAACTTTTATAAAATGACTCCGCTACATTAAAGCAGCATTATCTTTTTAATTATAAAACACATGGAAGTATATCCATAAGCAGAGCAACATTTATCTGGTTCAAAAATGAAACGGTTAAAAAAAACTGAAATGTTGCGTTTTGTCACACTTCCCTGCTGTAAAACAAGACACTCCCTATCAATTGCATTTAACCTTTACTCTCTCATTGCACAATTCTATGCACATTTCACACACGGATGCATCTGCTTCAGAACAGGAACCTTTGACATCAACTTAAACTTTATTCTATGGCAGGAAGATAGCGTTAAAGTTAATCATTTGTTTTAACATGAACACTGTCACTGAACTGGCTTAATGTGACCTATGAACCTCCTGATGACTGACAGGCTTTACCACGATTAAAAAAACCTGAACGCTGAAGTGCGTCCTCTGCTGGTGAAAAGAGGAATATGGGAGCTGGAGCCAAACAAATCATGAAAACATTGACATTCCTAACACCAAAAACGGGTTTCAAAATATTCTCATTGATTACATCAGGTTAAAAAAAAAGATTTTTTTTTTTTTTTGCACAAATAAAATGTAATCTAAAATTAGGGCTCTTTTAGGATTTTTTTTTTTTTTTTTGTGACATTATTTTCAGGACAATTAAACTCGTTTTACCACCCAATTCCCACTGCTGTAATGCATCTGTTTTTTAAAAATAATTCTTAAATGATGATTCTTATCACTGTAATACAATTTTTATTCATCTGTATTACTGTAGAAATTAAATTAAAATCAATTTTAATAAATTAAAGGCAGTAAAAAATCTATATAAATAACTTCGTAAAATAATTAGAATTAGATATTCTATTATTTCCAGTAATTTTAATGATACAGTAATAACTTATATATTCTTTGTTTTACTGCCCTCATTAAAAATGAACTGATTTTAATTTGCAAACTGTATTTTTACAGTAATACAGATGAATAAAAATGACATGACAGTGATGAGAATCATCATTTAAGAATAATTAAGATGGTAAAGAATAATAAAAGTGGTCAAATTTGCTTAACTGTCAATAATGTCACAATGCAAAAAAAAAAAGAAAAGAAAAAAAGTAAGGCTTATATAGTGCAATTCAATACTTAAAAAATATATTTAATTCTTTCTTTTTTTGTTTTGATTTTTTGGGGGGGAAATCTGACCTGGACACCCTTTTCCCCCCTAAGTAAACATATAAACTATTCCAAAATGGCAAAATGTTTATATCATGGCTCATATAAACTTTAAACCATTACCTTTATGTTATGTGATTTCACCGCTCAATTTTGTTTCAAGAATGTTCCAGAAGGAAATTGCCGTAGTTTCAGATTAAAAGCAGTGATAAAATTCCAGTGCATAAGAGTTACTGCAATTTTGTTTAGTACCCAAAAATTCATCTACATCACATGTAAACACACATCCTGTGTGTATATACTGTACTTCCCATCCACCTGCATACTCAACTATACGAGCATGTCTTACTGTCTTCCTTTGCGGTGTTCCTGTAGGATTAATCATCCTTAAATTTGCTCTCCATGAGTTTTGGTGTAGATCTTTACGTAAAACCAGTATCCACACATATGTCCGTATTGTCAGTGGCTTTGGGCCTACTATTATGTATTTCTCCAAACGTTAAACTCTTTGATCCACGTATGCGTGTCTCTCTGACGCGTATAGCCATTCTCCTCTCTCGCTGTGCAGACTCCAGGTTCTCTTTAAGGATGAAATAGTAACATGCGCCATCTGCCAAGATGTTCACATTGCTAATGCATATGCTTATGTGAACAAAGTAGCGTAGATGATCGATGGTGCTTTGATGCCACTCGCCTGTCTTGGCATAGAAGTATATGGGCGCTGCTATATGGTAAGGAATGAAGCATGTAAGGAAGACCACCAGGTTGCTGAGAACGATCTTCATGCTCTTGTTGTTGCGCAGTTTGGAATCTCCAGGGTAGCGCTCCCTCAGTTTGTGCAGGATTTGCACCACACGCATGGAACAGAACACCATCACCAAGGCGCTGCTGCAAAACACGGTCTCCATAGATGCCAGAATCCAACTTTTCGTCCAAGTTGAGTTGGAGAATTGCTCAAAGCAATGCAACGTTTTGTTTGCTGGATTATCGTGAAGTCTGTAGATGGGGAAGCTGC